CCCCAAAACCCCAAAACCCCAAAACCCCATAATGAGGTATTTTTTAAATTTGAGTTAAATTTAGATTTTAAATACAAAAGCTATTAAAATTTATTTATTTTTATGGAATCAAATGTATTTTCTTCGAAAAGGCATTCAATTGGTGCCCCGAACCAGCAAATTAATAGAGTCTTTACTCCCTGAACACCTTCAACAAAGAATTTGAGTAAAGTTGAGACGCTTAACAGAATTAGTGCTATTAAAAATTAGTCATCTTTGATAAAAAGCACAATGAAGGGCGCTAGATGTCCTTTTTCTTCATAGAGCAAGAATAGTCAGACAAAAAAATATGCTTATCTAAAGATAACTGAACTTGTAGAAGATGATGTATATTTAAATTTTAAGTTAATCCTTAATTAGAGTTAGAAAATGTTGGATGATTACAATCAATTAAGCGTTTAGTTTGATAGTCATAGACAAACATTTGGCAACTCAAAGATTAGCCAAAACCCTTTTGTTGACCCAGTGTAATTTTCGCCCTCAGATAGAATAACAAATCTCAGGTTACCTCAGTTTACAAATTTTTCACCATCAAAGACTCTTTCGCCAAATAAACAATTGCGAGGAGAATCAGAGGCATAACCTATCCCTGATTCCCTTTCGTAGACAATAGATGAAAATTTCACATCTTTTTCATCTCTCCCAAAAGAACTTTCAGAATTAGATAAGCAAATAATTATTTAGCATAAAGATCTGCGATCACTTCTTTAAACTAGAAATAATATATTGCCAAAATATTCATCCCAAGTGGTTCCGAATAAAAATGGGGGAGTAACTAATAAATCTGAAAAATAGAGAAAGAGTAAATCAAAAAGTAAAATTGTTAAATTTTAGACAAATAATTAATCTAGTAACAAGAACAATGAAAGTAGCCTTTAAACAAGTGGTAATTTAAGGATGTCAATAGTCAATAACTCTACTAAAGACTTAGTGCTTAATAAAATTGACAACCTAATAACATAAAACACTCTATCAATAACGAAACTCAACAGAGTAAAGTAAAATACTTAATATGATGTGGATAGAATGAAACTAAAACAATCTGAACTGTATTCAAATATAAACTACTATGAAAAATAAAATACAACTTTAGAAGCAGATCTAAAAAGCTTTTTTGAAAAGTAACAATTAATGCAGTTATAAGTGGATGAAATGTTATTTGAAATTAAGAAAGTAAAGATGGAATAGTTGGATCAGAGTAGAATGAATGAAGCGCAAACCTAAAGTTATCAGGATGAGATAAAAAATATCTATGAGTATAAGTGTGACAAATAGTCAAATCAATTATAGAATGATAGAAAAGTCAGAGATAAACTTCAATAATAATATTAGTAAGATGAAAATACTCTCAAAAACTAAAATGTAGAATTAGAAACTCAAAGAGATATGTTATAGCAGCTAGTTAATTAATAAAATGTTATGGAATAGAAGAGAAAAGGAATAGTAAATGATAAAGGTAGAATGTTCAAAGCTATAGTCAAAAACTGAAATTTTAAAGTTAAAATAGTTTTTATATTTGTTTTGTTTATATAAGCTAAAATTTCTCAATAATATTTTATATGGGGTTTTGGGGTTTTGGGGTTTTGGGG